TTATCAGCAGTGCTCACTCATCACATGACAGGCCCCATTCAAAGCCTTTTGTATGCATAGACTCATCAATCTTCACTAAGATTCCTTACTACTGGCAATTGTTTTTGTTTTTTTTTTTTTCTTTTTTTTTTTTTGGTCTCATCACATGGCTTTGTGGGATCTTGGTCCCCTAACCAGGAATCGAACTCAGGCCATTGGCAAGTGAAAGCTCAGAGTCCTAATCAATGGACCGACAGGGAATTCCCACTACTGGCTATTGTTACCCTCAATTTACAAATGCAGAAACAAGCAGAGAGAGGTGAAGTGACTTGCCCAACATCACACAGCCAAAAGGAAGGTTCGTAAAGGATAGAGGACCATAGGGAGGGCTACTGGGGTGCTTTTCTCTCAGGGCACCCCAGAGGATAGGAAGCTTTCCTTATTCTACAAGCCCCAGCCCCGACCAGGTGAGAAAAAGGCTGCCAACAAGGGAGGAACTCTGGGAGAGGATGGGTAGCCAGCCCAGATCTCAGCACCTCCTCTGGGTTGCCTTCTTGGCTTGACCATGTCTGGCTCAGCTTCCCCAGGGGTCAGTATGCAGGGACTAGGCCGGCAGAGGATGGACTTGCAGGTGCTGCCAACCTTGTTTCTTTGGGAGTGGAGTATCCTGGACACCACTCCTGTATGAGTCAGGAGAACCAAGATCCACTCTGACTCATGTTCCATTATCTTGGCACCTCCCCTGCCTGGGCCTCAGTTTCCTTATCTGGAAAAGGGGGTGATAACCCTGTCCTTGATCTTGGAAGTAAAGGACTTGTAGGCTGAGCAATGCTGGCCAAAGGTGTGGTTACTATTGAAATAGAAACTCACAAGGGACAGGGACCTGGGTAAAGGATTCTAACCCCAGATCTTTGGACCCACAAACTCTAGGGGGCCTCCCAGCCACAGGCGATACAATGACCCTTCCCATTTACCCACAGTGATTCCCAGGCTTAAAGGGGCAAGTCATCTGTTCAGAAGAGATGAACAGGGTTCCACTCTGGCCTCTGCAGATGGGCTTTCGAGGTTAAAAAAAGCCCCCGAAGGCCTTCCCTGGTGGTCCAGTAGCTAAGACTATGTGCTCCCAATGCAGGGGCCCTGGGTTTGATCCCTGGTCAGGGAACTGGATCCCACATACCACAACCAAGAGTTCTCATGCTACAACTAAGCCCCAACACAGCCATATAAATTTGAGAAACAAACAAATAAAAGGCCCCGAGTTATGTGCAACAAGATGCATTTGCTTCTGGCGAGGGAAGGTTTTCTGGGCCACAGTGCCCCTTGAAGCTGCCCGTCTTCCTGAAGCTGGTGTGCTGTGGGGCAGAGGAAGTGAGGCGAGACTCTCGCTTCACGCAAGGGTATTTCCTTTGTGGGAAGCTCTGCCATGGCAGGCATCGTGTCGGAGGCATGGTCTCTAAGGGCTGGTGCTGGATTGGGGAGAGGGTGTCCTTGGAGCCACAGCAGTCCCCAAATCTGCCAGAGGACACCCACCGGGCACACAGTTCCCAGCTCTGGCTGGGGTGTTGGTCAGGGTAGGGGTGCAGGCAGTGTGAGAAGGGGAAGCTGCCAGAAGAGGAACCCACTTCTGTACTAGTGCTGCTGGGGCCTCCCCAACCTGTGTTTCCTCCCCCAGAGAAAGGAGCGGCTGGTGCTTGGGTGGCCCGGGGCCTGGAACTCAGCCCACGCTGCTCTGACGGACCTGCAGGGTCAGCTCCCCCGCCTCTGGGGCTCCTGACTCCGAGACACCCCAGTGCTCTTAGCAACTTGCTTTGCCCCCCACTTGTCCTACCGTTCCCGCCTCAGGTTGGGAAGGGGCCCGCAGCTCCCCACTTCCCAGGGCAACTCCACCCTGCCCCACCCCTGGGCCCCACACCCCAAAGCCCAGATAACTCTGTCTCTGGTTGGTGTCTTAACATCCCACCTCACCCCACACCTCCCCTCTCTCTGCCCAGGAAACTTCAGACTTCACCGCAGTTTCCGGCCTCTGAGGCGGCAGATGAGCCGCTAGAGCGATGGGTGCTCACAACTCCCGCCCCCAACTTCACCTTTGAGCACTGGGAGCTCCGTCCCCCTCACTACCCCTCCATCTGCTACAGCGGTGTCTGTAACTGCTTCCGCCAGATGGAGGCAAGCAGCCAGACTGTCCTCCCACACAGACCCCAGTGGGCAGGGTCCCGGGTATAGAGAAATTTTGCTTCCCAGGGGCCATCCCATCCCACAGCTCTGGGTACCACTGGTTGGTTGGAAAGATGCTTTCTCCTGTCCTCCACCCCTCACCTTGGGTCTGGCCCGTCTGGTTCTAGAACCTTCTACAGCAACCTTTACTGGACTCATCTCCACCTTGGCCACTCCTTTCACCCTTGCAGTCTCTATCTTCCTCTAGTTGGTCACCTGGCCATCTTTTCTGCCACTTTCTCCTGATATCTGTCGACCCCAAAGGCAGAGACCAACCTCACCATCTTTATCACAAAGGACCTTCTCCAGAGATCTCTATGTACTCAGGATTCTTCTTCATTCATTCATTCCACAAGCCTTGCTCTGGGACAAGTGTTGTGCTGGGCACTGGCATGTGGAAGAGGAATGACCCAGCCTTTCCTTCACGTTCCTCTAGATAGTGGGGCTTTCCAAGACACAGCAGGACACTCTTGAGGGAGCAGCCACATCTCTCCCCATTAGAGTATCTCTCCTGGGCTGTCCCACTGATTGTAAGGCCAGCCTACTTCCCCAGAACACTAATGAGAGGTTCAAACCCCAGCTCTGCTTTTCTGCCACCTGGAACAGTCCTGCTGGGAAAGCATGGGTGGGGGCTGGCACAGAGCTCTGCAGGCCATGGGTTCAAAAGAACAGGCTTAGGCTCGGGCCTGGGCCTGAATGGCAGGAGGTTAAAAAACTCCCAATAACACTCAGTGAGCTCTTTGGAAGAGGCAGGCCCTGTGCTAAGCACTGTACATCACATGATTTTGACATTATCCTCACAACTATTTTAGCCGTTTACAGAGGAGGAAGGGGCTTCCCAGGTGGTGCAGTGGTAAAGAATTCACCTGCCAACGCAGAAGACGCAAAGACATATGTTCGATCCCTGTGTTAAGAAGATACCCTGGAGAAGGGTATGGCAACCCACTCCAGTAGTCTTGCCTGGGAAATCCCATGGACAGAGGAGCCTGGCGGGCTACAGATCATGCGGTCACCAAGAGTCAGACACGACTGAGCACACACACACACACACAGGAGGAAACTGAGGCCCAAGTGTCCCCAGGGACATACAGCCATGAGAGCTGGCATCAAAGCCCAGGTCGGACTCCAGAGCATGTGGCAGGAAGTTGTGGGCAGGTCATCATTGCCCTGGGTGGTCACTGCTTCTGATGATTGAGAAAGCGCTCTCCCCACCCCTCTGGCACGAGCTCTTAGTGAAAACCCTGCCTTATACCAAGCAGAAGCTTGCCAGAACCTCTTCAGGACAATGTATTCTGATAAGTCTTTTGAGCATCTTCCTCTGGGTTAAGCGAGAAAGATCAGAAGTGGTCCCTCACTGGGTCTGCTGGGGCAGGCTGCGGTGAACAGTGAGCCCCAAGGATCTGAGTGGAGGCGGCCTGAGAGGGGAGGAACGAGAAGCCGGTTGAATCCTTGCTCTGACCCTCCCTGCCCCATTAGCCCTCCACCCAGAGGGGAGTTAATGAACCTCCCCCTACCTGGGTCTTGGGCAGGAAAAGTGTGAAACTGAAAGTGCCCCAGACACACCACTGCTCTTGGGGCCACGCCTTTGGGAATTACTCAGAGGCCTTTGGCTTTTCCAGTTCACGGGGCTGGCCCTGTCCTGGAGGCGGCCCTGCACGGTCCTCAGCCCTTTCCGGAGCCTTTCCAGGGTGGAATGACAGATGCTACTGGTGGCCTTATGAAGAGGTGCACAGTGGGGTGGGAGCTAGGGATGCGGGTGGGGGATTTTGGTCTCATCCAAGGGCAGTTGGAAGACTTCACTTTTTACATAGAAGGCTTGGCTGACAGGGCACCTGATGACATGGTTCCACACAAGTCATTAAACGCAGAGTCACAGAGGCTGGGTGAGGCCCCAACTGGGGATCCTAACCTTTGCTCCCCGGTGTTGATTCAGCCCAGAAGGGAGTTGGGGCACGAGGTAAGCTCCTCAAGGGTACCACCAGCAGCAGTGTTACTGGAATCTTTCCATTGGCTGTACTCCTCCTACCATCCCCCAACAATAGAAACGCTGAAGACTGCGATGGGATCAGCATAAATACACTTGCCTTGGGAGGCTGCAGGTGGCAGAAAGAACCTTATTTTGGATCTACATCCCCTAGAGCTCTGTTCCTTCTTCAGTGCCAGGAAGAAACAGAAGTGTAGCCACAGAATCTGAGAACCACAGGCTCAGAATGACAGACCACAGAATTCCAGAGCCAGGCAACACAGTCCATGGAATCCCAGAAACACGGGACTCAATTTATAGTTACAGGGCCCTAGAGTCTCAGGATTGTCAGCCACAGATTCCTGGAGTTCACAGGCTCTGATCTGAAGCCCAGAGAATTCTACATAATAGGACCCAGAAATGCAGCCTACGAAACCTTAGCAGCAGGGGACTCAGATCAGCAGCCCACGGAATCTTAACAGACCACAGCATGTAACACACATCCTGGAACCACGGTAAACAGAAGCAAAACCCACGGTTTTCTAGAACCACAGGAGAGGAACGAAGCTGTGAGCCCTCAGAACATCAGCACTAGGAGGGCGGCCCAGAAGCTCACCTTTTCCAAACACCCTCCTTTTACAGATGGGGCGACTCTGTCGAGCTTCCAGCACCACCCAACCAGGCAGTGGTTAACGGGCTCCCAGCCAGCGCCTCTCCAGGAGTGACTGGATGTCGCGGTCCAGAGAGGCAGGAGGGCGGGCGGGGATGGCCGGGCGGGGGGATTCCCCTCAGGGGGAAACCCTGCAGGCGGACCCTAGGACCCTCGCCGCGCAGACGCACTCACCGGCGGTGTCATAGAGATTCAGGGTCACCTCCTTGCTGCCCACGGTCACACTGGCTGTGTACTTCTCGAACACGGATGGGGCGTAGTGCTGTAGGAGAAGGGGTCGTGTCGGTTCTTAAGGGGTGCAGCGGGTGCCCAGGTTCCAGCTGGACCCCCACCCCTACCTTCCATCTTCACCCCATCTGGCTCAGCCCCACACCCCACTCTGCTGGACTCCGGAATTCCCGAGGGGACGCCCCGGGGTGACGGCCGCCTCTTCGTGATCAGGATGCCAGGGACCCGGGGTCCGGGCTCGGGGCGCAGGCTGAGGTCCGTCCGTCGCCCCTAGTGGTCCCAAGTCCTTCCCCCCATCCCGCCCCCAGCCTACCTGCCTTCAGCACCCCGGCGAGCCTCACCTCGGGGAAAGAGCCCTGGCTGTACACCATGAGCAGCGAAGTCTTGCCGCAGCCGCCGTCGCCCACGATCACAATCTTCAGCTCCTTCCGGCCTGAGCCCGGGGCCGGGGCCGGGGCCGGGGCCCCAGCAGCGTCCATAGCCCCTCGCCGGCAGCACTGGCAGCCAGCCGCTCACCGGGTAGAGCGCTGGGGTTGAGCGATCGGAGGCGGGGTGGGAACCGGCCCAGGGGCGGGGCTGAGAAGTCCCGCCCTCGGACTCAGCACCTCCTCCGCCAGGCAGCCAACCGGGCTGACCTGTCTCATTCCCAGGGAAACTGAGGCAACTGAGAAATGGAGAGCTCGGCTGCAATGGCAGCTCCCATCTCCTCCCCTGCGCGCCCCCATCGGCAAAATCCGATCGTTTCCGCCCCTTCCCATCCGGCATCCTTGATTGGCAAGCTGTCTTCGGGCAGGGACCCTCTGATTGGCCGATTGGGCCTCCCCCATCGGATCACAGCCTTTTGATTGGCAGGATGTCCCCCAACACGCCGGTTCGAAGAGCCTTGGTCTCAAGCGCCAAGAAAAGCTCCCCCACTTGCGCCTCACCCCAATTATGTGGCCTTGGGGAAGTTCACTCTGACTGCAATTTCCCCCAGAAGATAGCATCGGTGGTGCCCAATAAGATCTTAGTATGAGGGTCAAGTCTGCCCACTTGATCAGGCCGTCTGGGAGTCTGTGTGTGGGCTGGGGAATATCAGTTCCGTTTACTATCACCCCACCTCCCAAAGGTGGTGGTCTGGCGCCCTCTGCCGGGCGATGGCATCGGCGCCGCGACTCTGGGAACAGGTGAGCCGAGCCAGAATAATGCCCCTTCGAGGGTTGGTCCCAAACCACGCGGCTGGGAGCCTCTTTCTAGCAAGGCCCAGAGGCGTGAGCAGAGCCAGACTCCGTCGAGGAGGGGACAGGGAAGGCCAGGGTAGATGCAGTTGCGATCACCTGGACCCCCTTCCGTCCACTTGAGACTGATACCCCCACCTCCACCAAGACAATTTGTATTCTCCAGACAGCAGAAATACCCATCCTTCTCAAGCTGTCTCCCTAACCCTCCTACCTACCCCATGACCAAAACGGGTATTTGCTGAGCATTTACTCTGGATGAGTACCATCAGGAAGGCTGGAGGAAACCACCCCGCCCCATCCCTCCCTGCACCTTGGGCTGTGCTTTGCACAAATTAGGCCAGTATCCGGAGTTGCAGAGGGATCCCCAGGAGCAGGCGTGTACCAGGCAGGCACCAGGGCATGGCTAGGTGAGAAAGCAGGGTCTTTCCCAGCTAGGATGGGACCTCTGATAGTTTCCTCAGAGAAGAGCTGGCAGGACTCGGGATCTTCTTGCCCCCACCCAGAAAATTCCCCATTTTTCAAGCACTCAGCAAGGATCAGGTAAACTTTATTTCTAGAGGAAGTTGCCAGCCTGGCAGTTCCATAAATGCCAGGTCAACGTTTTCGGCGGCTGCAAGGCACAATCTGACCACCAGATGGCAGCAGAGACTGCCCCTGGAAGCTTTCAAAGAGCACAGACCTGGGAAGAGAGATGCCCAGATGCAGACTGTTAAGTGGAGAGCCCTCAAGAACCCCTAGACAAATTTACAGCAATTCATTCATTTTTTTTTGCAGCACAAGTTTATTGAGAGGCAACTGTGTTCCTGCTTTTGAGGAACTCAATCTTGGGGGAAGCAGTCTAAAAGAGTCTGCAAGATGTGAACTATTTAGACACCAGAGTCCCTGTGGGATTCAGAGGTTGAGAGCTGGGTAGCACATGAACTAAGCTTGGCAATGCTGGCAGGAAGGGTCAATGGAAGTAGGATGGGCACCCAGCTTGAGTAAATGCATGGTGGCTGGAAAACCCCATCAAGTTTGGCAATGGCTGGGGCGTGAGGAGAGAGGTGAGACATGGCTGTCAAGGAAACCAAGGCTTAGACCATGGAGGCCTAGCTGCAGGCTTAAGACAGGCTCTGAACAGAAAACCCAAGCCAAAGCTCTCTCTGGTGACTAAGGAGGAGCTGTGATTGGCTGGTGAGGCCACAGCTGGGGCCATCTCTGCACTGGGGCAGCCTGGCCCTGGCAGGAGAGGAGGGGAAGAGCATCACTCAGGGAGTGGAAGGATGGAAGAAGGTTTTGGGAGAAAGGGGAGGACCACTTACCTTTGAGCCAACCGCAGGCTTGACCTTGTATCAGGGATCCTGAAGCTCAGGGAGTGACTGGGAGAGTAAGACTACCTCATCTGGGAGGGTCATTGGGAGAATTCACTTAGAAGGGTCACCCACTCTGAGCACACTGTGGTAACCGCTCCAGCCTGGAGGGGGAGGCCACTTCTTTCCTCAAAGTCCTCAGACCTCAGTTTCTACCTTTTCTACGAAATGAATTTCAACTTACAACAATGACATAACACAGAGCCAAGAGGAGGAAAAGTGGGTCTTCCCAGCCTGGCCTGGGCCCAGGCAGGACAGCGGACACTGGCCCCAGCCTGCCCACCCACCCTGCCTGGCCAAGAGGCTGGCGGAGGCCCAACCCCACCCAGCAGGGAGAGTGTTTGATTTGGACCTGGCTCCAGTGGTGGTGCAGGGGCTGGCTTTGTAGCTAAAAATACCCAGGGGCCAGGCCAGCTGCTCAGAGCTTCCCCAGAGGCGCTGGGCCAGGGCAGGCCAGCTGAGGCACTGGAAACGCCCACAGGCCCGCAGAGCCCTACTCCCTTACCTGTAAGACCATGTGAGGACCCAGGCCATTCTTCACTTCACCAGGAATTCCTGGAGAGATATGGGAGGAGAGGAAAAAAATTCTTTAACCTGGTTCTTGCCACAGAACTGTTGGGACACAGAAGCCTAGGGGAGTTGGCAGGTGACATTTGTGGGGGTGAAGTGACTTGTGTTCACACTTAGGCCTAGGGGCTCTCCCAGTGTTAAGTCATTCAGTCATGTCCAACTCTTTGTAATCCTATGGACTGTAGCCTGCTAGGCTCCTTTATCCATGGGATTCTCCAGGCAAGCATACTGGAGTGGGTAGCCATTCTCTTCTCCAGATCTTCCCAACTCAAGGACTGAAGCCAGGTCTCCTGCATTGCAGGCAGATTCGTTACTGTCTGAGCCACCTGGGAAGCCCAGGGTGTCTAGTGAGGCCAACTGACCCCAGGAGAGAAGCAGGACCAGATACACTTGTCTTGTGAGGTCAAGGTCTGGCCAGGGAAGTGAACAGCAATGCTATGGCGTCCACTTCCTAGTGCCTCGGGAACACTGTCGGAGGTCACTGCACACCTGAGGGGTCATCCACTCCTCGTGGGACAGAAGTTAATGGAGCCATCCTCTGAGGTCCCAGAGATGGGAGGTGGCCCAGGGTGGCCTGGGGGATCAAAGCTGTCTCTTCCTGTGCCAGGGCTCTCCTCCAGGCTCAACATTTGGTAACAGGGTTGAGGGAGTGACTGCCAGAGTAAAAAAGCGGCTTTCATAACGTCAAACTCAGAAAACAGCTCAAGAGATTATCCGCCAACTTCCTCCTCCTGGTACACAAGGGGAGACCACGAGTCCTGGAGGGGTGGGATCTTGTCGAGGTCACTGGGCAGAAGGAGACAGACAGCACTGGACCCAGGCGGCCTCTGAGATGGCCGGGTGCCCTCCACAGTCCAGGCAGACGCTCAGTCTCCACCCAGAGGGTCCGAAAGGTCGCACTCCACGCGGCGCCTGTTGGCTGATGGGCCGGAAGGGGCGGGGCCCTGGCGTCCAGTAGTAAGGCAGGTCCGGCCACCTCCCGGCCGCCCTTCCGCTGGCGTGGCCCTCTCCAGGCAGGCTCCACCGGCTGGGCGCCAGGAACGCCCCGCCCCGAGCTCGCTGGGTGACCGGTGGGCGGGGCCGCCATCTGAGGACTGAGGAACCACCATCTGAGGACTGATAGGCTGCCCCGCCCCTCCCTTCACCTAGGAGGTGATACCAGCATGGGGACAGAAATTCAAGAGGGAGAGAAAAAGAAGCCAGAAGGGGGTATGATCCTTCCTGGTCTCCCGGACACCCCTCCCTTTCCAAGAATCACAGCCCGACCCCAGGGGAGCGCCTCATTGTTCCCTAATTGGTCCGAGGGCGGGAGTGGAGGAACTGGAACTGACAGTAGCCCTTCAGGCTGCTGCTGAAAGGGAAGAATTTCAATTATTTAACCATCCAGTGCCCACGGGAGGTAGGTAAAGACCCCGGCTCCGCGGAGCCCCAAACACTCGATCAGAAAGGATGGAGGACAACTTCAGATGGCAGAAAGGTCACCTGAGGATCGAAGGGAGTCGAATGAACACATCAATGGCAGAGCAGAATCTAAGCCTAGGACTGGGACAAGTGTGGAACGCGGGAAGAGGCTCTTAGTATAGGATATTAATAATCTGAGCCTCACCAGCTTTTACAAAGTACTCACTCTGGGTAGGGGAAAGGGAGTCTAGTGCCGAGTGTAGTCAGCTGCACCCCCTTCACCGGAGCAAAGGACAGGATGGACCAAATCCAGCTTATCTGGGATAAGACCCTCATCCGGTCAAGACTCGGCAGCCAGAAGGAACTACAAGTACCATGCTGGCTACTTTCAACCAGACAGCTTTGCCGGCTCCCGGGCAGTGATGCCAGCAGACAGCTGGCACGGGCAGGAGACCAAAATAACCCAGACAGCTGGGGCGAGGGGGTGCCATGGACACAGGCACTGGGCTGGAAGTCAAGACACCTGGAACCTCATTCTGACTGCCCGTGGTGGCCTCCTGACCTTGAGTGAGTCACTTCTACTCTCCCAGTTGGGGGGGGGAACCCCTAAATCAGGAACCATTATAGAACAGCCTGTGGACTTGAGGAAGGGCCACCACCCCAACTCACACACTGGAGGAAAAACAGTGCTGGCTCCCAGCCGGCAGAAAGTCAGTCTTCCCCTTTGCCCAGAGGCTTGGCCACGTGCTATGGGGTGCGCTGGTGGGGGAGGAGCTTACAGATGGCCCAGCCCCCACCCCCCCAGCCACCTAGGAATGAAGGCCAACTAACGTGAAGCCAGAACGTGAGGCCAGAACGTGAGGCCGGCACCCCTTAATCGCACTTAATCTGCCCTCCACCCTTTACAGCAGGCTTCATTATCATCACTTTACACAGGAGACTCGCCCAAGGTCACCAGCACCCTGGAGAGTCAAGCCCACAGCTGTCGGACCTAGAGAATCCCTTGATGAAGCACCAACACTGCCCCAACAAAAGCTCTGGGTCAAGCCCTAAGGCTCCCCCAATCCTCAATTCAGCCCCCATACTGAGGGATGGGATAAAAGTGAAAAGCGCCGATCAGACTGGGAAGCCTGAACCCAAGAGGGGAGGCTGTGCCATCAGCAGGGACCCAAATGGTTCATCAAAGTAATCACAAACTAGAGCTCACGTGGGGGAGGGGTCAGAGATCAAGGGCCACACTATCTCCAGCTGTGGAGCGGCCTGGAGCTCAAGAGGACAGGAGACCCCTCACGATCAGCTTGTGTTAGGAAAATGGGAGTTGCCATTACTAGGAAGCCCATGATGCTGCACCAAGAAATGAGGCTGGGGCTTCAAGTGCACAAGTTCAGGTCCTTTCAACATCCCAAGGTGTTACCGGGCACAAAGGTTCTCAGAATGTCTCCACCTGGCAGCCATGAGGATCACCTGAGAATTTACTAGAAATGCGAGTTCTCAGGCCCCACCGACTGAATCAGAAACTCAAGGATGGGGTCTCGGAGTATTTTAATGAGCCACCTGTGTGATCGGATGCACACTTTGACAATCACTGACCCAGTTGTGCGGATGGGGAAACTGGGGCTGAGAGACTGCGCAGCTTATGCAAGGTCACAGCAGGTAAAACGGCTAGCCAGGTTTCAAATTTGGGTTTGTCCAAATCTAGAAACAGGGCTTTGAGGGGGAGGGGGCTGGGTGAGATGGAATCGTGGGAATTTCCTGGAAGGAGACAGTCAACAAACTTCTTTCTTAAAGAAAACTGGCCCAAATCTCAGGTCCTTCTGTTCTTCACCTCCCTAGCAGCCAGACATTAGAAAGGAAGAGGCCAGCTTCATACAATCACCCCACACACCCCCAGTGCGGGCCGGAAGGGAGGGCCAGCGCTGGGTCCGGTTTCCTGGCAGCCGACTGTGCCTTTCAGAAGAGGCATCCAGGGCCCTCCCCCACCACAAAATACACGACTGGGAAATACTCGCAAGTGCAGCCTCTCCTATGCTGCTAAATACGGCAGAGAATTGCACGCCCCAAACTCCTGACAACAAAAGCTGACAGGCGGGGATGGATGGACCAAGCAGGCCCAGCAGGCAGCCGATTTCACACAGTCCCACACATCTGTGTGGGGGAGGGGCCGCAGAACCAGACTAGCGGGTTTGGGGTGCCCGCCCTCCCTGGCCGCCAGGCCAAAGCCCCCCAAATCGCCCTCGCAGGCTGGGAAAGGGCTCACACCTACCTTAAAGCGAGGACTGGCAGAGTCAGACTAGACCTGCTTCTACTGTCCAAAGGAGGGCGGTCCACTATGGGGGTACCGGGCCCCTTCTCCGGTCACGAGCCTAAAGGGAAAAATGGGAGGGTTTTTTTAGGGCGTCGATGGCCACAAACCGGGCAGGATCTCCTTGAAGGAAGAAGAGCCTTACAAATGCCGAACCCCCTTCCCAGCTGCCAAGGCTGCCCTCACTCTAAAATGGATAGGAGTGGGGGGTGGGGGGTGGGGGTGGCGGATGAGTCACGAAGGTTCAGCCCGAGCGCCAAGCAGCGGGAGGAGACTCATCTGCATTTCCAAAGGCCCGCCCAGTCTGCATCCCCTCCCCCAGGAATGGTCGGAGGTGCGAGGGTTTACCCCACAGCCCTCCGCCTCGGGGGATCCCGGGGAAGGCCCGCTCGGCTTTCCCAGGCCCCAACCCCCCACCCTACCCTCCCGAGTGCCGGTGGCCAGCACTGTCTTCATGGCCACCTCGGGACGTCTGTGGCCTGCGTGAGGGCCTCACGCTCAAAGCAGGGGAAAAAAGGGGCCCACCCGCCCCTCGGGCTCGGCTATCAAAAAGGGCGGTTACAAAAAAAAAAAGGGGGGCGGCTAGGGGGCCAAACGTGGGCGCCGAGGCTCGAGTGGGCAGCAGGGAGGGCCTGGGGTCAGAGCAGGGCCGCGGGGGGGAAACTCCGCAGCCTCTAAAGCAGCCCTTCGGGGTCAGGAGGCGGCCTCGAGCGGCCCCGTGGCCCTTTGCTACTGGCTCCCGGACGGGAGGAAAGAAGAAAGGCCCCGCCCGGGAGCGAGGCCTCGTGCCCGCGGGGGCTCCTGAGTAGGGCGCGGGGTCCAAGGAGGCTGCGGAGCCCTCTGTCTAGCCGCCTACTCCGGGCTCCCAACGACAACCGGGGAAGGAGGGAGGAAGGAAGAGAGCGGCCGCCATTAGCCACCCCGCAGCCCGGCCCTGGCTCCGGCCCCAGCCTCGGCCCCAGCCCAGCCGGCGGCTCTGCTCTGAACCTGAAAATAAAACTCGTGTTTGCGAGGGAGGAGCGAGCGCGGACGGGAGCACGGGCAGCGTTCGGGCTGCAAAGCGGGAGAGATGCTGCGTCATGGTGCCAACATGGACGCCGGCCTTTTGTCCTTTTTTGCTTAGGAAGCGCAGGCGCGCCCAGGAGCCCCGAAAAGCCGGCTTCAGAGGGCGAGACCCCCACCATCAAAAGGAAAAGAGGCCTCAGGCCCGGAAGGAGAGGCTTCCTCAGCTTTTGTGACCCCCTTCCCCAAAGCACTTAAGTTTCTTCTCCCTATCAAGGCTCAAACCTAGAAAAGCGAGGGGGAACTAGCGCAGGCGGCTCCACAGATGCCCCAAGTCGCTGGGGAGACCTTCCTCTTGCCTCCTGGGCAAAAGGGGCAAAGGGTCTGAAGAGCCTTTCTCGTGCCCCCACCCTCCCCGATCCGGCTGCCAAACATGAAGCTCCAGAAACCTCCTTCTCCCTTCACCTCCTAAACATTTGCAGCGCTTGGCCTTCTCGAAAAAACATTTCCTCGAAGGGGCAAAAGACACTTTTTTTTTTTTACTTACCCACTCAGCCCGGTGCCAAGGAGTCTGGAAGATCAAGCTGGGCGGAGGGTTTGGAGGTGTTATTGTGGGGGAAAAAAAAATATTTTAGGGAGATTGTTTAGTTGGAAATATTTGGGGTAATGGTGGTGTCTTTTTTGTTGTTACCTTTTAAAAGTTACACTCTCATGGCATTTTCTGCTCCTTCCACTTCTGCAAACTTTCCAGGGTTGGGTTGGCAAAAGGCGGCTTCGCTGAGGACTGTTTACTGCTCTGGATATAGCAATGGTGTGACCGTCATTAAGAGACAAAAGGCGAAAATACACAGTCAAATCAAACAAAAGGCAAAAGACGCACCGGCCATCCCAACCACCATAGAAACTACCCCCGAGTTAACGATGGTGTTTGGCTCCAACCAGCTAGGACTTGTTTTCCAGTTTTAATCTAGTTTCCTGTGACGGCTTTAGTCTCTTTACACAAAGAGGTCTTCCTTTCCCTCACACCCCCCCCTTCCCCAACAAAGACGAGAAAAACAGTCTGTTTTTCTTCTAATAGATAGATTTTCAAAGAAAGTGTACCTGTTACGGGGAAGAAAGCTGACTAGCATTTATTGCTGTAAACATTTTCAAAAGCTTAACTCTAAAACCTAGCTTTATAAAAGCAAAATCGTCTAAAAGCATTTTAACTGGCTTATGCTAGACAAGAGCGACAAAGACATACATGCAGATGAAGGTTCAGAAAATTAAGGACATCTCAGCAACATTAACATGAAAACTGCACTGCGTAAGGACAGAATGGATTGGGTACTTACAATGTAAAAGGTTTTTAAAAACTTAAGAGTAACGACTGCTTACAATTTTTTGTTGCTGCCATTTCGCTAATCCTAAAACTATACATTTAAAACATTACCTTGTTAAAGAGAGCAGAAGGAGTTAATAAGATGGCCAGTTTTAAGTGTTTAATAGAGGAAACTATATATATAAAAATTTATTGTTCAGTTAAGAGAATACAGATTAAGACAGCTCCAAGCCCCCCCCCACCCACCCAAGAAAAAAAAGAGGAAAAAAAATTAAATATGTCATTTACTTAGGTTTTTTGGAATTCAAAATTGTTAAACTGCTGACATTAATGGTGTGCTATGACCTAGTTATACAAGACAAAGATGGATTCCAAGTCATAAGGAAAAATCCAGATCTTTTTAAAGTCTTCTTCATTCTTCCAATTTTGAGTCCTTTAGCTTGTTGACAAATGTTAAACACAACACTGAGGCGTCCTGAACGGGATGTGGAGTCAAAGGAAAAACATTCCCCATTTGCAACAAAGGAAAAACCCACTTGGCCATTTAATTCCATTGCAGAAAAATGGCTCCCCTCATCTGTTGGCCTCTCCTTGGTGTCTGATGAAGGATGTTTTGAGATCAGCGTCTAATAACTCAAGCCCTATAGAAGCCGCGCGCTGATTGGCTGCCGCGCCCGGCCGCCCTGCTCCAGCCAATTACCTACCCACGGCCAAATTACAAACCCCGAAAAGAGCCCCAATATGAAATACACTACCACGAAGCCCCAGCGAGGCGGCTCCCTCTCCTCGGCCGCCAGACAGGAGAGGCAGAGGGGGCTGCAAACGCGTCCTCGCGAAGCCCGAGAGCCTCGGAGTTGAACTCACAAAATGGAAGCCGCGCGCTGATTGGCCGCCGCCACTCCCGGACCTTTAATAAAGAAAGGGGAAGGAAAGATAAATGCAAAAAAGGGGGACTTGCTCCTCTGCCGGTGGCTGGAGGAAAGGGTGGGGGGTGCGGAGGGAGAAGCATGTGTTCACGACAATTACAAGGGCACTCCTCTCCAAAAATAAAAACAGAAAGAAGCTTCTATCACTCAGGTCCAGGCCTGGGCTGCTTCCTCCCAGGAATGTAAATGCTAATTTGGTTAAAATCCTGGTTTCCCCTCCCCAGCTCAGCTCCGGGGGGAGGGGGTCGCGGGGCAGAAGAGGAAGCCGTAGCCGAGATACCTCGATTGCAACTTGTCTTGGGGCCGCCTTGCCGCCCCTCACGGCTCCAGCCGTCTAAACACACAATCATACACCCCAAAACCCAGCCCTTTCCCTTGGGCCCCCACGCGCCCACCTCCGGTCTTGGCAGTTTGAAAACAGTTTTTGAGGCCCGAGGCGCAAGCCGCGGCTCGGAGGGTAGCACCAGCAGCGGGAAGTAGAGCCCGGGGAGACCCCCCCCTCCCCCGCCGCCAAGCCCCCCACCTAAGTCCCAGCAGAATAAATAAATTAAAAGGCCTTCCCCCGGGGAGGGGGGAGGCAGTGTGGGAGCGCGCGAGTGAGGGGTGGGGGGCCGCTGGGGCCCGGGGCTTTGGCGGCGCAGCTGCCGCCGCCGGGAGAGTGCCTGGGGAAGCGGCGAGGAAGGAGAGGGGAGGAGGAAGAGGAGGAGGAGGAGGAAGAGGAGGAGGGTGAGCGCTCGGGTCGGGCTCCTTAGCGGTGTATTGTGGGATGTGCGGCTACTGGGAGCCGAGCCTCCGCCGCCAGCCGCCTCCCGGGCAGCAGCAGCAGCAGCAGCAGCACGGAGCCCGCGTCCTCCGGGTGCCCCGGGCCCCGCAAGTCCGCACCAGGGGCCCCCGGGAGCCCCTCGCAGCCGCTCCGAGATGGTGGCCAAGCGGGCGGGCGCCTAATTCTCCGGAAGGGTTATTCTCTCGCTCCATTCTTATTTTTGGGGGGAGCCAGCTCCTTTTGGGGCCCGCTGGTAAGGTGGGAGGGGGTGGGGGACTGGACGATTTGATTCTTTAGCGTGTGTGTAGAAGCGGCCGCCGCCGCCGCAGCCGCGGCGGAGACGACAACAACTTGCTCGTTTTCAGGTTGGGTTAACGGCATGGAGAACAGTCACCCCCCCCACCACCACCACCAGCAGCCCCCGCCGCAGCCCGGCCCTTCGGGCGAGAGGAGGAACCACCATTGGAGAAGTTACAAGTTGATGATTGACCCAGCTTTGAAAAAGGGGCATCATAAACTGTACCGCTACGATGGGCAGCATTTCAGCCTTGCGGTGAGTAGCCGGCGCGCCTCCCTGTCGGCCCCCCCGCCCCCACCCCGAGCCTTGCCGAAGAGGGTGGGGGCTGAGTGGTCCGAGTGGCCCGGGGACCCCCCCCCCTTCCTGACCACCCGGCCAACTGTCAGCCAGGTCCCCAGTCCTGGAGTTTGACAAGTGCCTGGAGAAGGGGGGGGGTTCCTGTCCCTGACCCTGGGGAGTGGGACCAGCCCACCCACTCCGCCCCCCTTTCCTCTCCACAGATGTCCAGCAATCGCCCGGTGGAAATCGTGGAAGATCCCCGGGTGGTCGGCATCTGGACTAAAAACAAGGAGCTGGAGCTGTCGGTCCCCAAATTCAAGGTAGGACCCTCCCCCGTATCCCGCGCCCCTTCTCTCCACGCCCCCCCCCCCCCCCC